CGGCCTCAACCCCGACTACCGCAAAGTAGCAACCGACGCCAGTCACTACGAATACGAGCCTCCGGCAAGCCGTCAGCGCAGACATGGCCAAGGGTTGGCTCGACCCATGAACCGGCCCCCTTAGCCAATTTTTGAACCGGCCCATAACCCCTTAAGGGTTGGTTACAGGTCATGTCGTACCCATTTTTGACCCGCCGGACTTGACCGGGTCCGAGTCCGAGTTTTTCGATGGGCCACGATTATAATTTTATTTTTTTTTTCTATTTTTTTTTTTTTAAAACAGGCGGTTCAATGAAACGGCCCTTAGATATAGGCGGGCCGGTTACGTGCCTAGGACTTGAGACCCGCCGATTCGGCGTGCCGGCCCGGGCTTTGGCCAAGTCTACGTCAGGGCAACCCCCCACACACACACCCAACCTCCACGGCATTCGAAGAAGAAAAAAACAGAAAAAATTGAAAATCTGTGTACATTCATTCACCCTAGACAAGTGACCACTCCATATTTTCTCTTAAATTCTGGACCCAAATAATGTACAACTCCAAGGTAACACAGTTTGTCAGCAGCAACATGCAGGTTTAACTTTAATTTATTGAAGACTTATATATTCTTCTGTTTTTAAGGCAAGATACATGAACATTAACCAACAACAGTTTCCTCTTCAAATAGCTCCAAAGTGGTCATCTTTATTTATAAACTAGCTAAACATATTAATACTAAAGGAGGAGAGTCGTGATAGGCTTGGCGAGCCAACGTAAAACCTAGCCGTTCTATGGAGATGAAAGTTTTGCAGTGTTGATATTGTTGTCACCGGATGTAAGTTATGATAACACATTTTTTCTGAGAATTAAGAACTCTGGATATGTCAAAAGTCATCAGAATGCAAAAAACTTTGCATTACATATTATTACAAACTGTGCTTCATCATTCTGTTTGCAGTATGTAACAAGCTTATAATATAGTTAAACATGGCGTGGTTTGATATTATTCGTTTTCAGTTACATCTTTTTTTCATATGCAAAGCTCACAACAAAAGGACTACGTACTCGATACTTCTCACTCGACCATGTAAGGGATCCAAACAAGTCTTCCTGGGAAGGTTCAGTGACCGTGAACTTCACTTGAAAGCTTAATTTCTTCACATTCTTTGTGAACTGGAGTTTGTTCGGAATCACTTCAACTCGCAAGACAGCAGGAGCTTTTAAGGTGGCCGTGTAGGTCGACTCTTCTTCACCGACATTAGTCACTGTCCTGTTCACTGTCCTGCTTTCGTCCGGTATTAAGTTGGACAAGGCTATTGAAGGATAGTTCATGGCGGAGATCAAATCTGGATCTGAGTTACTGGGGCAAGAAAAGTTATTCGAAACTGTTGACGATATTCTTTTAATTTGGGATGCGTCGTAGCCAAAGTTGCAAAGAAACAGGATGTAGTCTGTGGTATTTGTCTCATAAACGAGACCGGGCTTCAATGGGCCCGATAGGCTGATTTCCCCTGCTCCAGTGTCATAAGGCGTGGCTCGCGATTCTGTATGTGTAGTGATTGGGGCATGTAGATTGTTCACCTGGATTGCTGTAAATGATATAGAATAGATACTATTTTTATTAGCTACTGCTCAAATGTTTGCTTAGAGTCTATATTAAATTCGACAACCTGTTGTCATTATGGCTGATCGGATAGCGGAAGGACTCCATGTGGAATATTGAGACTTAACAAATGCAACTAGTCCAGAAACATGTGGGCAAGCCATGGATGTGCCCGACAATATGTCGAAGAGCGGTGGCTCCTTATTCGCGATAGCCTCTCTTTTGTCGTTCGAAGGCCATGCAGCTAGAATTGCTACTCCTGGTGCTGCAATATCAGGCTACAAAAACCTCAGCATTTTAGTATTTATTAATCCTTTGTATGCACAAAACCTTTATTTATTTTTATAATTTTTCTCTTGTTTACCTTGAGAAGGTTATTAATACCATAGGTAGGGCCTCTTGACGAGAAGTAGGCAACAACTGGAGCCGGCTTGTAATTTTGCGTCACCACAGTTGGTAGAATCGTCGCCATGGGATTGCTTTCATGATATCAGATAATGCAAATCAGTTTATATATTTACATGTACACTTATGCCTTTACGTCTCTTGATTAATGTTGCTAATTGATTACCTCGTTGAGTTTATATAAGATAATATTCGATCTCCATCTTTTTCATTTACAATAGCAATGGGTGAAGTCCCGTATTTGAAAGGAACTTGTCTCAGGTTGTTGTCCGTCAGGATCATCCCGATCGCACCTTGGCTTTTCAACGACTCATACTTGCTTTTCGTTCCATAGCTTCTATCCTCGTTTTTGCAGAACACAATATTCCCCTTCACTTTGCTGCCATCTAATGAACCTGGGATACAATTGCTACAAAAGGTGCCATGCATGCGTTAAATTTTCATCCACACTCGAAAGAAAGAATGAACGTTTTTTTTTTCAAGAGTCGCGTCTCTATAATAATACCTTGCATCACTAGCACGTCCGGAAGCCGAACGCGCCCTACTCCCGTCCACTAATGGATAAACCGGCGATTTATCAAGACCCGAAAAATTGATGCCTCCTCCCTACAATATTCTCCAAAGTAAAAAAAGGAAACAAATAAACGGTCCCACGCACGTGAGTGAGCCTAGATGTGACATAGTGAGTTCCATCTCATTCCAAAACCAATTGGTGAAAGGAAGAGTAACCCACAACGCTTATATTTAGACCTATTTTCCCAGTACAAACGATGTCTAACAATTCACAAGTGATATTCTAATAATACCGATTTGATCAACTACCTTAACAAAACCGGCCCCAGCCAAGACAACCCCCGTCTCGAAATCACGGTCGATTGTCGTGGCTGCCACAGTCAATATCCACGGCGCGACATTAACAACACTCTGCGGCATGGGCCCACTGTTCCCCGCAGAGCACACAACCGCAATCCCTCTCTCAACTGCGTGGAAGGCGCCGATAGCTATAGGGTCGGACACAAAGTTAGGCTCCCCAGGAGACGACCCTAGGGACACCGACAGCACATCAACTCCGTCCGCTATAGCATCGTCGAACCCCTTGAGAATGGCGGACCCGAGACAACCTCCACTAGCCGTGCACACGCGGTACATGGCTATCCTCGACTCGGGGGACCCACCGAAAGCGGTCCCATTGGCGAGGCCATAGTAGGAAGCTCCGGAGACAGACCTTCCGGACGCTGTCGAAGCCACGTGGGTGCCATGTCCCGCGTCGTCACGTGGGGTCCCCATGGGAATGGGAGTTCTTTTCGACGACCCTGTGCCTGTGTAGTATCTTGCCCCGATAATTTTTCTGTTTTCGCGTAATTTTTATTTCGTGAGAAATGCGAATTCGGAAAAATTAAAAAAATACACCAAGTTGGTAATGTTTTTTCACCTGTTGCACGTAGACGAAGTGAAATTGTCGCCGGCCATGCATGTGCCCTTCCAACGTGACGGGACAGGGCTCATATCCTGATCGGTGAAACTCTTGGATTCCGGCCAAATACCTGAAAAGATGTTACGAAATGTAAATGAATGTATAATTGTGGTTGACAAATGATTGAAAAATTGTCACCTGTATCTAAGATGCCAATGATAGTGTCAGTTGAGGAGGCTTGGGAGATGATGTTAGCATCGGTCTTTAAAGCGGTTTGGTATTTGAGAAAATCCCATGAACGAGTCGTGTGGAGTTGTAAAATTGGGTCGGGGAAAACAGACACCACTCCAGGGCTTTCCTCCATGGATTTTGCTTCGGCTTCCGATAAACGAGCTGCGAAACCCAAAAAACCATTTCTGTAGATTTGTAGAACAGAATCCTTTTTCCTGTAAAATATACATGTGATTTAAGTTATTAGAACATAAGGAATTTAACTTAAAACAGATATATGATGTGAATACAAGAAAGATGAATACAAACCTTGCTTTAAGCAAGGTAAGAAGCTGAGCATGATGGTCATTTCTTGGGTCGTCGTCTCGCGAACGTAAACCTCCCATGTACACAATATAGTTTCCTGATTTTGCAGCACGAGCTTCTCCAAGAAATGAGGTGACTGCCAAAAGACCGAAACCGAGAAGAAGATCGAAACCTCTCATGATTAATTCCAATATTGTACTCGAATGGTGATTTGCACAGCCAAGGCCTTAAACACGATCTCTTTATATAGTGCTAAATCAGTAAACCGAACAATGGCAAAGTTTGGTCAAGAGACGACTAGTTTCATTTAATGGATTTCATACGTGTGTTACCACTCGCTGTGTACATAGTGTTTTCCACACTACGTGCTCCCACTCCACAAATGCTATGTGAAAGTGGAAACGAGGGAGGATGAACTAAAACGAAGATATATACACTGAGAGTGAGAGAGAGAGAGAGAGATTCTTTACTGCAGAAGTTAAAGAATTTGTGTAGCTTTTTCTTGTTTTGTTTCTATTTGTGTTTTTGTTTTGCATTCTTTTGTTTGGACAAACAACTTCAAAGTTTTATGTCATTAATGCAGCTGCAGTTGCAGTTGTTGCAGAATATAAGGATGTCACTGGGGCATGACTCTTAAAATGAAAATCACACACACAAGCTGTTCTTTAGACTTTAGAGGGAGGTTTTAATCATCACTCAACAAATTAGACTTGATTAAAATTGGGAATCCATTACATCCAGTGTTTTAAATAACGTACAGGTAGTTATACCAGTCTAGCCATTAGTACGCGGTATTACCGGTCGGACCGGTAATATCGATGGTATTACCAGATTAGCAAATATAATGATATATATAAATATACATAACAATATATAATACCAAATAGAAAAAAGTAAAAAATATAAATGACCATAATTATTAATTTCAACTTCTCAATGAGATAAAATAAAACATTTTAACTACCAATTTAAATTTTATGTTTTTAAATTAATAAATTTTATTTTTTTATTTTTTTAATGGTCGGTATTTTGCAGTTTTTACGGTATGATCTCGGTACAAACCGGTATAACCGTAATCCGGTATTTTATGTGTGTAATTGTACCGTGTCGGTATCCGATATTACCGGCCAGCACAGTACGATATTTAAAACACTGATAAAATCAAACAAAAAAAAAAAGGGCTAGATAATCTCTCATATAACACACATATGAAATCCATAGGTTCACATTTTTCACAAATTAATTAGCTAGATACGTCACACCATTTTGTATTGCTTTCTTAATATTATCCCTCCTTATATATTAATTCAAAACGTGTTGAGTTTAAGTGGCAGATTCTCACGCTTCGGATGCTGACATGGCGAAAATCTATACTTCGTGATGTTGTTTTTATATTTTTCTCTCTTGAGTTAGATTTGGTATTAGACATAAATAACATTACACATATATTCATTAACTCAACACCCAAGTTGTACATGGGTATTAGTACTAGTAATTCGTTTACTTTGAAGAAATAATTGCCCACCAAAACAATTTTACCCTGCCCACTTAGGAATTTTTTATCGAAAAAAAAAACAAAAAAGTAGTGGACAAAAAAATAAAAAAAAAAAGTGGGTAGAAACAAATGAAAAACACGTATTCACTAAATACGTTTTTTGCACGTTTTAATTGTAAAACGCATTCACGGAATACATTTTCCTTTGTAAAAAAAATGTAAAACGTGTTTAGTGAATACGTTTTTTTGATTAAAATATAAAGAAAACGTATTTTGTAAATACGTGTTTTTTATGTTGGTTCAATGTCCTCCTTTTTTTGTTGTTTTTTGTCCAGTTATTATTTTTTTATTAATAAATATATAAATTACTCGCCCACTTAGGTATGGAAAATTTTGATTGACCTATAAATTTGGTTGCTCCACATATAGTGGATTTTGAATAGAAGAGATGTTACTGAAAAGTGAAAACAAACCACATGGAGAGTAAATGCCCTACACATTTGAGGGATTCTGCTTTGTTCTATAGAGACCACTAAGGCCAATTCTAAAATCCATGAATTATTGTATGAATAACACAATTTATTGCGAGGTATGTAGTATGTCACGACTATTAATAGGCCAAATACTAATTTATCATTTGACAGCAATCAATTTAACACAAACAAAGACTCTATTTGGTGTAGCACCAAAAAATAGTTCGGTGAACTAGCTTGAGCTGTGAGCTCGGGTAAGGCTGGTCTAAGAGAGTTTATGCTTGAGTTATGCAATCTAAAGATATAGGGCATTGGTTAATACATATAAAGATTTAGTAAATATTCTTAAAAGATGTTCAAGCAAGGTTGTGTATATCTACATATTGTAAAGGATCAGACTCCTTAGATTTTAAGGAAACACCTTATCTTAGAGAGTAAGTCATTAAACCTTTTACAAATAAGGGATGCAAGTTCAAATTCTAACATACGCTCTCAATAAGTCTCCCAATTACAGAACGGTTTGAGATATAAGATTTCTAATTTGAGTGTCGCAGTGCTATTCTGCGGCCCACCCCCGATACTTTTTCATGTTGATTCAGTTTAAGGTGCGAGGAGCTCGAGACGAGGTGGTTCAACCGGAAATCTTGGTGAGTTGATATTTTTTGCGCATCAAATTTGCGTGGACACGTCCTAATATCTATGGTGGCAAGAAAGTCGGAGGCTGCAGAGTTCATGTTGCGGTGGCTGTGACGACCGCAGGTTTAGCTCGACCGGACCGGGGACAGAAGAGGGCTTGCAATCGATAAAAAAAATAAAAAAATAAAAAATAAAATGAAGAGGAGGAAAGTGGTGGTTGGGGCATCCAAAAAGTTGTGGTGGCCGTGCCATGGTGGCTGTGACGGTCACAGGTATGGATCGGTCGTACATGATCCAGATGAGGGTTGGAGGTTGCGGTTGTCGTGCCATGGTGGCTAGGGCAGCCAGGAATCTGCGACGACCGTGTCGTGGTGGCTGTGGTGACAGCTGATTTGCCTCAGGCAAACAAAGAGCCAAATTCTAGCCAAGGCTGGAATCAAAGGGAGAACCATTCCACGACGTCATATGGACGATTACGTTCTCAAGAAGCATGAGCAATCGTGTTGGTCTACCAAAAAAAATTTATCTATCATCAGTGGGACGCCATAGTGGATGGTGTGGAGTCGTGCCTGACCAAAGTCGGCCATCTCAATCACAGACTCGTCCGACGGCGGCGGAGGACGAGAGGACTGTGATGAGAATAAAAGTGCGTCGACCAAGGGCTGCGTCTCGAAAATTAATTTTCTTTATTATAATAAAGAGAGTTGGAGATGTCACAACAACAATAAAGCTATACATCAAGTCTCGGTATTGGCTTCAATGACACGCGCCCGCCCGCCTGCAAGCGGCTCGGCTCGACACGAGCTCGGGCTCGGGCCAAGGCCGGGGCCAGGGCCAGGGACTTGGTCCTCAGTCCTTGGTCCTTGGCAATTGGACTGTAGGCTGGACTTGAGTGGCCTTGGACGGTCCGAACAAGTGTTGGGCTTGGGTCTTGGGCCCAACCAATATATTATTTTGCTGCAATTTTTTTTTTCAATTGTGGCCTAATTTAAAATCCAAACTGAGTTAGTTTTGAGCTCGGGTTTCGACCCAACCGTGAGTGATCTCACTAGGTTTACTGAACCTAGACTGACTTTCCACTTGACTGTGTTAGTGGTTACCAGGTGGTGGATTGAAGGTGTACCACCTGAAACCTTTTCGCAATTACCAACAACCACGAGTAGTTGTTAGTGGCTTGACTGTTACAAGGTGAAGACCAGAAGTCATCTCCCATTTATGTTGGAACTCCTATAGGACATGTTATAGAGGAGCAGAACACTTACACTATCAAAGGAAAATTTGCATACTCTCCAAAGCCCCACGTATCATAACATTAAAGTGTTGAGTTCTCGACTACACGACTACATTCAAGTTCATCGGAGCTCAAAAGTTGGTGTGCTACAACCTTCGAGACGTCTGCCGTTGTATCTTTGTGGACAATACTCCTGAATCCATTAACACTATACTGGGTGTTTTCGTCTTGCAGAAAGAACAATCGCCTAGGCTTGTTTTTCACTTTCTTTTTGTAATTTTCGTTTCAGCTTTTTAGTTAAAGTTGTAAGAACTAAAATCACTATTTTCATTTCATAGGTTCCAGTGCAATTCCATACATATATTGTAACAGTCTATTGATCCAACAAATGAATCTCACTTTTTGGTAAATCAAAATAAGCGATAAAAATACACACGACCATTTATCTTACGACTTAAGAGTACGATCAATAGCTGAGATTATTTTACCTTTCAAGCAAGACTAGCAGGTCGGATAGTCAATCACTTCCAACGGTCCGAGTTGTCCATTTTCTATCTGCCATTTAATCCTACCTAATTTAGTATGACCAAGCTGAAGTTGTCAAAGATATGCTTGATTCAGTTTATACTTCTTATTAAATCTAGTAGTTCATTTCTTTTTTTTTTTTTTGGTGCAAGAAAGGAGGCAGAAGCCTTAGACTACAATATTGCGAGGGTAAGAAACTCCTAAGTTATCATACTCCAGCCACGGTTTAACCCCGTGGGAGGGTCGTCAACATATAAATTGCCTATTAATAAACCAAAACATATAAAATGTTTATTCTTACTAATAACAACTTTATTGTCGAATAAATAAACATTAAATCCATCCCGAGACAATAACCGAAATTAATAATTTATTTATTTTTTTTCTAAACAACGGAACATTACCACTAAACACAATTCCTTGAGAATTAGAACTCTTATCTATGCGATAAAACTGAGCGATTATACTTTGCCTCTTTCAACTTCGAAGTTCATCATCTACCGATGGTTGCTTCTTTCTCAATCACCCGTCCGATTTGCCGGAAATGGTTTGCCGGATTATCGAATTATCCGATGGTATGGATGACTGGATCTTGTTCTTTTCGCAGGTTTAAGTTCAACTCTTATCAGATAGGCATGAGCACGTTGGCCGAGCCGATGTTCTCGTCTTCAACGAGACAAAACCCATCTTCCTCGTCATCTCCTTGGCTTATGCTGCCGCTCGCCACTGTCGCCTCCGCCGGCATCAGCTACAAGTTCTACAGCCTCGCCGACGATAAAATCGTAACCCTCGGTACAGGAAAAAGCCGCCATGAAAGAGAATTAACGCACCCGCGCATGCGTTTCGCGGGATCTTCACACGGCTGGCTAGCTTTGTTGAGCCGCAGCCTAGATTTGTTTCTCTATAATCCCATCTCCGGTCGCCATATCGACCTCCCTTCGGTTCGCGACCTGCCCGAATCCCCTGCTGGCTCGACCATAACATACAAGGTCATACTCTCGTGCTCCCCGGACAGACCAGATTGTCGGGCCATCGTTTTGTACAACAGCATGTGTGCGCTGGCTTTCTGCTGCCTTGGGTTGAGCAAGGAGTGGACCCGTATCGGCGATGACCACTGGCTCGATGAAAAATTGGGCCGGCCATTCCGCAACGGCTATTGGGATTGTGTCTACTCCACGAGACACGAAGCGTTGTTTAGCCTCACGAGACAGGGCGTGTTGGAATCTTGGGATCTTCGGGACCCTCGTTCACCGAGGGCGAGGGCGGTGAAGATAGCCGAGGTTAGACCCGAGGGACGAGTTAGTATTATGTACCGAAAAAGCTATGAGAAAGAGGAGAATCACTTGTGGCTATCGTGTGATGCAGTGCAGCATCTGGTAGTGGCTGGGAAGGATCTCTTCGTGGTGACTCAATACCGTGCTGGATGTTTTGATTTTGATGGGTTGTATGTTGGATGGAGTGATCAGAATACCTTCGCTGGAGGCCCTCCGTATGTGACTGTTGATTTCGATGTTTATAAATATGATCCTGAAAATCAGGATGTTAAGTACGTCAACTCGTTAGATGGCTTGGCGGTTTTTGTTGGCTACCACAACGATGCATTTGCATTGCCCGCGGCAGAGTTTCCAGAGCTCAAACCCAATTGCATTTACTTCACGAATGCAATTGAACCATCAATGAGTGCGTATATACCGACGAGAGGCCAAGACATCGGCATTTTCGATTATAAAAACAAGACCGTGTTGCCATGCTATTATCCGTTTGATGACAAGAACATGAGAGAGATTTTCCCAACTCCTACTTGGTTCTTCCCGAATCGTGCAGTGCAGTCTTGTTATGGAGCCAACGGATGGTACGACTTATGGAGTCATCCACACTTATTCACAATTAGTATATTGACACGTGTCATACAATAAATATACTTTGGACATGTGTCAATATATTATGTGATCATAGAATTTCTGTCGTGCATGATTTGATCTTATGGTTTCTACTAAAAAAAAAAACTCCCGTCTCTATCAAAATCAACAAGTTGGTAGAGATCGACTATCAACACGGTGGAGCGAATTTGTTTTAAGAATTATGTGTTATCACATGCTTCAATATAATTTCATAGTTAATTTTATTTTTCCTATAAAGTTCCCTACACCTTCCATTTCTCTTTCTAGTTTTTTTTTTTTTTTTTTTTTTT